TTTGTGTGTGGAGGAGTGAATATTTGGAATATATCGGTCGGATGCCAAGTTGTTATTTCCTGTGTTGAATTAAGGGAGTGGCCCCCGCTAACCCCTCTCTCCCTGCGGTTTGTACAAGGCCCTGTTGATGCAGCTGTTTTTTGTAACTACGTAACCTTCCAATATCCCTGCAACTGCATCCAGCAACCAGAACGAACACCCACATTCCTTCTCCCCTGCGGCCACGCCTAAGTCTATCGTCCGGAGGTGACGGAAGCCCTTTGCCGGCTGCCTGGGACGGAGGTGTGAGGGCCTGGCGGGTCCTGGGGCCGGCCCAGTGGGCGGGGCCGACCTTCGGGGGGCGTCTCCCCGCCCAGGGCCTTGGCTTCCTCCTCTGACCCCACCGCGGCTCGGCCTGCGCCTCCGGTACGCGCGTCTCCGGGTGGGCTCTGCACGGAGTGACGGACCGCCGGCTTGACCCAATTCCACGAAGGGCCGCTGAGCACGCACCGGGGCCCGAGCCGGCACCACAGGGCGACTCCCGGGGGCGCGTGCTGGTCTCCGGCCTCTGGACACGCGAGGGCAGCGTGTGACCACGTCCTCAGCAGGCCTGGGCGAGGGGCCAGCCTTTCAGAAGGGCCACGGGGACACGGGGGAGGACAAGAGTGGCCGTGCGGCGGGCGTGTGCCGGGCTCCAGGACAGCGGGCGGGGGGGGGGCAGCGTCTCTGTGGCTTCAGTCACTCGGGGACGTAGGAGGGTGCGGGTGGTGGCCGGCGGGGCCCGGGCGAGGTGCTGGACACACCCCGCCGCGCGGGAAGCTGGACGCATCCCCAGGAGAACGCAGACTGGCTCCTGCCAGCAGCGCCTGGAGGCCGCCCCCCACCCCGAGGCGAGGCGGCTTTGGGGGTGGACGCCGGACACTTCGGGGGCGAGCGGCGGTGAAGGGAGGCTCGTGGGAGGGACGCTCGCAGGTCCCAAGGCAACGAGGCCGGAAGGGACGCCATAGACAAAGTCGCCTGCTTGCTTTAAGAAGAGAGGTGCGCACTGCGTGACCCTGCGTCCTCTCCGCGGGGCGCGGGGCGCGGGCGCGGGGCCTCCTTGCAACCTGCTGCTCCACAGACGGGTCCTGCGCCCTCCCGAGGGGGCGGCCGGCAGTCTGTCTGTCTGTCTGCTGGGCAGGTAGGGTCAGGACAACAGGCTGCTGGTCCTCAGCTGGGTCAGTATCAGAGCACGGACCTGAGGTAACTCATCCCAGGGGCAGGGACCCTCCGGGACCCTAGGTGAGAGTGGGAGGCCCCCTCCGGAGCCTGGGGGCCCTGCGAGGCGGCAGGACTGCCCTTCGGCCCGGTCGGTCCTGTGACTGGCCCTCCACCACCTGGACACGGTCCCACCACCCTGGCCCTGCCAGCGCGTCCCCCGCCTCTGCTGGGGGTCGCGGCGGCTGGTGGGGCTATGGAGGGCGGGGGGCTGGCCCGTGACTCGGCGGCGGCAGCAGCAGGGGACCAGGATGCTTTGTTCAAGGTGCCCATGGGGCGGCCTTCCCCCGGGATCAGGGCCGTGCGGTTTAAGGGTCAGGACACAACCCAGGAGGCGAAGCTCCCTCCCCCTCCTTGGCCGCTGAGGACGTGGCCGGTGCTCCCGAGCGAACGGTCAGACGCGGCCTGCGGTTCCCACCTCGCTCACAGAACTTCGTGTTCACACTCGGTTTGCCAAGGAGAGAGGCTGTTGGTAATTGCTTACGATTTGGGGTGTCACACAGACGCTACAGGGCTTCCGTTTCCGGCTTAAACGCACGTGCCCTCCCCCCTCTCTGCCCCACCCCCTCCCCTGTGCCAGGCCGGCCTGAGGGCCCCCCCTCGACAGGCTGAGCGGGCGCCCCAGGGAGAGGATCTCCCAGGCGGAGGGTATCCCAACAGATGCGCCCAACACTGACGACAAGCAGAATACCCCCCACCCGCAGTGGGGGTACCCGAAGCAGCAGGAAAAGAGAAAGGAACGGAGAAATGTTTGAAAAAACAATGGTGATTTCCGCACATCACGGTTGGACCCCGCGCCACTGACCCGCGAAGCTCAGAAAGCACCAAGCAGGGCAAACGCGTCCCCCCCCAAAAATTCACCGAGATGTACCAACTTATCTTTCCTTCTGGTGTAGACATTTATGCGATTTGATTTCACAGTAAAATCTCAGACTGTTTGGAACATGAGTGTCTATCGTTTAGTTTTAGTCCAAAGTTTGGGGAGTTTTTCCAAGAACAGACCAATCTTTGTTCTTTTTAATGTTAACCTCAATAAAACCAATGCCTAGCATTCGTTTGTATCTGTTTTGGGACTGATTTATCTACCTAATGTATAAACCTATGTCGTGCTACTTCAGTTTGGCAATTTTGAAATATACTAAAATATCAAAATTGGATAAACCAAAGCATTTATTATAACTCCTCTTCTGACATATTTTCATTGTCATCAAATAATGATTTTTGGTCGAATAGCTTCACCACTCTAGGCTTCAGTTTTTTTAATTTATATAATAGAAAGACTAAAATAAAGTCTTTTTATTTTAGTCTCTCTAATAAGTTTCTTCTCAAACTCAATACTCTCCTGGTTTTTAATCTGTTCAGTTTCTACTGTGGAAAAAATTGTATTACATTTTTTGTCCAAACTGACACGGGAGACAAACGCGCCCTGGGGACCCTCTGGCTCAGCGGCACGGGCCTGGCTGGCCCCCGCCTGCAAGGGGACACCACCCCGCGGGTGATGGAGAGAACCTCGCGGACGCTTTCCTCAGCGAAATGTTTTGCCTGTTGGTGCTGTTTGAGAAATAAACTCGTGAGTTTTTGAAAGTGCTCTGTTTTCTTCTATGATACCATGAAGTAGCGGCCGATTGCAGTTGAGCTGCACGTGCGTTTCTAAACCAGCTGGCCCCTCCAGGCCCCGCGGCTGCTGGTGGGTTTGGCAGGAGCCTGAACCGAGGCGGCTGTTGGGTTGCCCGGGCGGCTCTCTGCCCGGCAGGCGTCCCATGATGGACCCGGGGACCCCAGCCGCTGTGCCCCAGGCAATGGGGACGTTCTATTTTCAGTTTCTTGGAAGATTTAAGCTGGGGATTCATGTCCTTGGCGTTTCGACAGGCGTTTGTCAGGCCTTCGGTCACTGCACAACTCGTCCGCGCTCACGCGCCGGACCTGGGTGCAGACGGCGGGCGTCTGGGGGAAGTTCTGTTTCTCACAGCGAATGTTCTAGTACATCTGCTGAAGAGCTAACTGTGGGACACGCTATTTTAAATGGGATCTGTGCTCCAGGAGCGCAGACAGACTGCGAGCGACAACCTGCGAGTTCGTGACCTTGTGCAGCAGGGACAGGGCGCCTCCCTGCAGCGTGCGCGCACGGTCTCCGTGACAGCCCCTCCCACGTGCCTCTCTCCCCAGCTTTCAGTGACTGGAAGCTAAAACCCTCAGGTCGGGCCTGCTGGGCTCCCACAGGCAGGGAGGGCCAGGCGCCAGCGCTTGGGACCTGCCGGCCGAGAATCTACCGCTCGCGGCGGAAAGTGTTCGGTGCGACCTTAGGGCGGGGAACCAGCAGCATCTGCCTCTCGGTGGCGGCTCCACCTCCTTTTCCTTCTATTTCTCTACAGGTTGCACGTGGCTCCCCTGGCACCTGAAGAGGCTCCCTCTCCGAGACAGACGCAGTCTGGGCCCTGGCCCGCCCTCCCCCGCCCTCAGTCCCCAGGTTCCCGGGGCGGCACCCGTGGCCCCGCCCCTTTTGCTGCTACAGCGGCTGCATCGCAATTACTTCCCAGAGCTGCTAACTCCACGTGGCATCTGTTCCCAGAGGGGCCAGACAGATCACCCAAGATGTGCACCAAATAATGTCTTTTTCCTAAGCTGAATCCTGTGTGTTAATCACTTTTTTCTGAATTTTATATCCTGTGCCAAACAAAGTGAAACCATTTGCTTACACTGTGTCTTTTATTTTTAGCAATTTTCTATTTCAAAATCTTATGGTAGCAACCCAAATCTTTGGTCACTTCAATTAATTTTTTAGCTTTCATTTTTAGAGCAGCAGTTTGTTTACAACAAAACCGAGAGGCCGTGCCTAGATCCCCCCACCCCGCCACCGGCACCCCGCGTCGGCGGGGACGCAGCCACGCTGGCCAGCAGGTCACGCCCTCCCGAGGTCCGTCGCCCACGCGAGGCTCGCTCTCCGTGCGGACCCCGTGCATTCACACGCATGAGGACACGTGCCCGCAGCTCCCGTGTCAGACAGCATGTCCGCGGCCCGATGCCCTGTGCGCTCACTTCCCCGCCGACCCCGCAACTGCTGACCTTCCGTCCCCACAGCTCCGTCTTTGCCACACTGTCACCTCCTTGGTCTCGTGCAGCCGGCAGCCCGTTCCGACTGGCTTCTCTCGCTTAAGAACACACATGTGAGGCTCCTCCGTGTCTTCTCATGGCTTGGTGGGTCGTTTCTTCTTCGTGCTGAGCAGTGTTCCCCTGTCCGGACAGACCGCAGCCTGTTAGTCTGTCACCTGCCGGGGGACGTCCGGGATACCGCCTGTGACTGTGACGTGCAATCACTTTGACAAGTCGTTGGAACCTGTCCGCCAGCGTCTTGCCCTCTGGGGCCGCTCCTGGGAGGCGCCGGTCTGTGCCCTCTGCTGCCACGTCCCTGCTTGGTGGGGGCAGGCGCCGGCCTCGTGCGCTGGGAGGCGCCCCACCCCGCTTCTACTAGTGACAGAAGTGGGGACACCCAGTGTGCTGTCCTCCTTGAATGCCTGGTGATTTAATTCCTTCTTAAAAAAATATTAACCTGGAATCATTCGCTCCTCACCTTGGGGAGCCGTTACGTGGCTTAACGTGTGGAAGCCACTGCCCAGGGTCTTCCTTGGGGCTTCACACAGAATGAAGCCGCCAATGAGAAGGGGAATAAAAACCTCATGTGCTAGTGTGAACCTCATCTGAGCCCCAGCGCTCCAGCTCCGGCAGGGGAGTCTTTCTACACTTACGCCCCTTTATTCTTTAACCAGAGGTGGCAGTGCACTTTGAAAACCGCTTTCCGCAGCCGCACTAAGTGGCTGGCCCTGACAGGTGAGGCCCACGGCTCACCTGGCTGCTCCAGGTGAGCGCTGCCCTGACTCGCGCCACTCGATAATGGTGCGGGTCTGAATGTCGACTTCAGAGAATACATTTGATTGTGTTTTTGGAAAAGAAGCCTCAGAAATTTCAGGGTAGAATTTTTATTTCTTCTTCTACATCTGTTTTCTTGGCTGAATGCACCACCTTAGAAATATATTTTCTAAGGTACTTATATCCTGTAGTTGGCCTGGACGCAGCGTTTCCGTGTGAACCGCCCCCCCTTCCCGCCTTCTACAGGCCTCCGAACGTGTCCCCACGTGCCCCCCGACCTGCTGCGCAGCCGGGGCGCCCGCCGCGCCTTCTCCGGGGCTGTAGCTGCACTGTCGCAGTGGAGCAGTGGCGAACCAGCGGAAGGCTTGCACGTGTAAAACACACTCACCAAAAATAAGTATTTCGGGGAACAAATATTTTAACTCCCACTCTTCTGACGACGTCTATAAAATTGTAAGGCTCTATCATGTTTATGACTAACGTATTTTACTCCATAATATCTTCCAGATTCTTTTTTATTAAATGTTTACTCGCAGTCACTCCACATCAACTTCTGCTTCCAAAACTTCGTGCTAGGGTCACTATTTTTTATACGGCTTCAGTTGTAAAAACAAATTTTTATTTGACCTGGTTCAGTCAGTGACATAGTTTCTCATGCATTAAAACTGCTCGTCAGCTGTCTCTGCATTTCGGTGTCTTCAGTAAGATGAGCTAGTTATCAGTCAGGAAGTCCCCAAGGCGCTCATGCTTCTGATGCTGAGTATTTAATAATAATAGATATTTGCATCATCACTGGGACACATAATGGGAGAAACAATTAAAATTTAAGATATTGCTCATTCATCACGATGTCCATCACCTCAAAGTTTGGGTTTTGTGCTCAGGCCCCTATAAAGTCATTTATGGCTGCTCCCCAAACATGGGTGTTTGCCAGGCGGCAGGTCAGGAGGGGCTGCAGGTGTGTGTGGGGGGCGGGGCGTCCGGGTGCCTGGGCGGCGTGGCGCCAGCAGGTGCAATGCTGTCAGGAAGCTTCCGGGTGTGTGTCGTTAAGGAAGCTCATTGATGTTCACCCAATAACATCTGAGAACACGCTGTGTGCACGGCTCTCCTCCTGTCCTAACCCCCAGTGTGTGGTTTCTTGTGGTATTTTATTTTTAATTTTTTAAAGATTTTACATTTATTTTTTAGAGAGAAGGGAGAAAGAGAGGGAGGGGAACATTGATTTTGCCTCTCGCGCGCCCCGCAGTGGGGACCTGGCCTGCACCCAAGGCCTGTGCCCTGACCAGGCATCAGACCAGTGGCCTTTATGTTCACAGGCTGGTGCTCAACCCACGGAGCCACACCAGCCAGGACACAGGATCCTATTTTTTAAATGCAGGATAAACTTCAATGTCACCGAGTTGATGCTCACACGTTATGTGTGCTGAGGCTGGATGATGCCGCTCCTGCTCCAGCTGCCGGGACGCGTGGGAGCCGATGGTCCCTCATTACTGCGGGCCACGTGAGCACGGGCCTGACTGAGGAAAGCAACCGATGAATTGACACATGTGTTCTAAATGCTGTTAGTGAAGAATCTGTTGCCACGAGCATGTTTTGCATATGGTAGCTCTGTGGAGGCGCCCTGAGCTCGATCCCAAACATCGGGTGCGGTCTGGGGAGCTGGGCTTGGAGCTGCTCCGTGCGGCCCGGAACAAGCCTTGTGTACGGGCATCTTTAATTTATAAAGTAAGAATATTGGCTCCACCCCCGCTACGAGGTTTTTCAGAGAATCAACCTGTTAAATGTCTGTGGAAAAGGAAGTGCCTTTTAAACTTGAAAGCACTAGATAATCTATCTTTAAGGTTTTATTGATTAAAAAATAAAACAGAACAAAAACCCTCGAGACATCCCCCCTACTTTGGCAAGGTAAAAACGAGTCACAGCTTCCGATCAGCCCGCTGGGTTTGGAGGCAAAGCAGTGACCGCCCGTGAACCTGATCCCGGGAGTCCCTGCTCCAGCGCACGACACGCCTTCGCCCTGCACCGGGCCGTTCCAGGCGTCCCGCGCTCGGAGGAAACAGGCACAGACAGCACCGCCCGCACACTGACTTCTCTCAAATCGGCTCCTGCTCCCCCGAGAGAAAGCGAGAAGTCACCAAGTTTCCTCAAGGAAAGACAGAGGAGGGAAAGCAAAGGTTCAGACACGGGGAGGAAAGACTGCTTTCAGGCGCTGCCCTTGCTGTGGGTCAGAAGCAGCGGCGCTCGCCCCAGGCAGCGGCCTCCCCGGCCGGGCGGGGGGGTGGGGGGTGCGGAGCCTGCAGGCTGCAGTGCCACCGCACCGCCCGCCCACTCCCGCGTGTCCAGTCCACTCGAATCAGCTTTCGGCGCGTGAAATAGGCAAAGGGGTGTTAAAACACTTGCACTACAGCCCATCAAATTCTCAGTTTTTACCACTTAAGCAAAGAATTTTTTAAAAAAGCCAAAAGCACCATTTTGCTGTGTGCTTGGTATGCGCAGGAAGACGCCACGTCGGCACTGGGTGAGGGGCTGGTGCGTATCTCCTGTCAGCTTGAGGGCGAAGCGCCGGCGGCTTTGAAGACCATTCTGACGTCCTAAGTGGACAAAGTGCCCAGGAAACCTCCCGCAGGTGTCTGGCCACCCTTGAGAAAATGAGCAACCCCAGTGGGGAGGGAGAGGCCACCGCGTCTCACTCCCTGGGACGGTCACCAGAGCCTGGCAGGACGGGAGACCAGGCCAGAGAGGATGCATTCAGGAAGCGACCGGTGTCCTCGGCCCCTGGCATCGCCGGCCAGCAGCCCCGCACGCGAACGCAGGGTCCGCTGCCCGTAGGCCCTGCTTCTGCATTGCAGAGACTCGGGATAGGCTCCTGCAGGCTGCACACCTTGGGAGGGGCCGTGCTTGTTGTTCTGTAAGAGCCTCTGCCTGCCTTTGTTTGCTGGCAGAGCGTCTCCTTCAGCTGTATTTTTTCTAGGCTGTTTAATAGGCTATTCATCATCGTCGAGTCCCACCAGACATCAGTGGGGGACAGCTGTCCGTGCGAGGGGCCAAGGGCCTGGCCTCCAACTTCCCAAGTAGCTCCCGGGGGCCTCTTTAAAACTCGGCAGAGAGGACATCTGTGAGCCTTAAGTGTGACGAGAAGCAAATGTGACCTTCACCGTGTGTCCTGGAAAGAGATGTGTGTTGAATGCCAGGCATCTTCGGAAAGGCATTTAGAGAGAGTGAGCAGGTGCTCCATGGACACCCCTGCAAGCGGCGAATTCCATGCGCGTCTGCCCCGGGGCCCTGTGCTGCCAGCTTCAGAAGCACATGCAGAAGTCACACCCGCGGCGGCCGCGGGGCTCTGCGAAAAGCTGGGAGGAAGCTGGGCTCCGCGTGTGAGTCACACTGAGGTCACAGTGGGCGGCTGGAGCCCTGGGCGCTGAGTCAGCGTCCCCAAGGCCATGACGCAACCCCCACAGAAGGTGTGGCGGACCCTGTGCCCCAGCCCTGGCACCTGGACACTGGCTCGCCTGGGTCCTGGGAACTCGGGGGTCCCCGGGAGCCTGGGCTTCCAGGGCCTAGACAGCCCGACACAGGGGGCTTTTCCTTTGAACGCCGCGCACGTTCTCAGAAACAGATCGCTCTGGGGCACGTGCTCGAGGACAGGGTGCCAGCCCGGCGGGCTGCGGACCGTTCCAGCTTCATCGTGACTCTCCCCGAGAGCGTTTCCCCTGCTGTGTCCCTCACTCTTCAGAACATGCTTCGCTTGGACATGGGGCCCCCGACCGCCGGCTGCCGGCCACCATCAGAGTTCTGACAGTTCTGGGACTCACAGCACCATCCACAGTGGGAACCGAAGTGAAAACGCAGTGTTTTTAGGCGTCGTCATTCTCTGGGGCCCCAAGTCCATGGTGACAGGAGTTATGTTAAGACACAGGAGTTTCACAGCGACTTGTGTTTCCGGTTCAGCACGAGGAGCCATTGTATCAAGTGTTCGAAACCAGGCGCTGGCTCGTGTTGAATATGCCTGCAGCCTCACACAGAGTAACTGTCAACAGTTCAGCAAGTGGCTTAGAAACGGAAACTATTTCGCTGGTAACAAAAAATAGAGCATTTCCTGCACTGGAAGGCCCCGCTCTCCCTTCTAATCATGATCGTCCCTGTCCCCCTGAAGGTGTCCCCAGCCTGACGCTGGGGCCCGGTGCAGCGCCTTCTGCTTCTGACCTTGATTTCCATGGGTCCCATGACCTCAGCCACTCAGTGTGGCACTGTGGCACCTCTGTGTCCCACGTGGATGATGTTTTTGCCCAGAGTGACCACCAGAAAAGATGCCACAGTCTCCTCCGTCCTGGGGGGGGGGGCTGCCACTGTGGCTGACAACGGGAGCTCAGCCGCCCTGACACCTGCGTGCGCGCCCTCTGCTCACGTGGCAGGTGCGTGGTCTGTGTGGGAACACTGTGTACCCTGGCTTGACCCCTGCGCCGTCAGCCCGCCCGTCTGCAGCCCTGGGGACACGCCGTCCTCAGCGCCAGGGCTCCGTTTCCAGAGCCGCTCCTGGGGACACTGAGTGGATGGACGGATGCTGAGGCAGAGTTGCTCCTGAGAGGACACGGGATGCGCGAACATCTGCCCTTGGCTTTAGGACCCCAGGCGTGTGGCCAAGACCTCCGCTGATGGGGCACCCTCCCTCTGCGCCACAGCCAGACCAAGAGCGAGGCACACACCGCAGACCCTCCCAGAAGTAACAGGAAGGATGGGGCTGGCTCAGGCCATGGCCAGGTCACCGCGGGCGGCACGGAGGGAGACCCACCGGGAACACGAGGACCTTCCGGGACCTGGGAGCCACCTATGTCTTAACCAGGACATTGGGCCCGCGGAGCCCCAGGTGAAAGCCCAGGCAGCTGCCCACGCAGCCCTCTGTCTCTGTGGGCAAATGCCGAGGGAGAAAGGGCAGGAATCCCTGAGGGCATGTTGCTTGCTTTCAGGAAGTCAGAGCCATTCCTTTGACAGCTGTCCCCTGTCCGGACAGACGTCACTGCCCCCAGAGCAGTAGGTGAGAGGGCTGGGCTGGAGGGCGTGGTGAGCGTTTGAATTTGTCCTTGCAGAGGGTCAGGAGAGCATCTCCACCAGAGAAGCGCAGCGTGGGCGGCGGGGCGTGTGGGGGCCGGCGGCAGCCGAGCTGAGCGCGCGATTCGGGGCCTCTCCGCACAGCCCCTGGCGGCTCTGTCCAGGCCGCCGGCACATGCCCACCGAGGGACAAACAAAAGCCTGACCCTCAAAGATTTTTTAAGTGAGAAGTGTGCATTTGACAAGTGACGAAACCCAAGGTTTTCAGAGGGGAAGCTTAAAGTGCTCATGAAATAACGGCCCTCGGCAGAGTTTGTACGTGGGAGTGTGA